TGATAGACAGAGATAATAGCCAACAGTGTGATAGACAGAGATAATAGCCAACAGTGTGATAGACAGAGATAGTAAACTCAATAGTGTGGATAGATAGAGTATTAACAGCCAACAGTGTGATAGACAGAGATAATAATACCAGTGTGATGACACAGATGGAGATAATAACCTGATAGTGATAGATGACATTGTCAGTATAATACACTAATGAAATGTGATATATGGACAGAGATAAAATCAACAGTGTGACAGATGAGATAACAGCCAACAGTGCATAGACAGAGATAATAGTCACCAGTGTGATAGACAGAGATAATAGCCAACAGTGATAGACAGAGATACTAGCCAACAGCAAGTGGATAGACAGAGATAATAGCCAATAGTGTGGATAGACAGATGGAGATAATAAACCAATAAGTGACAGACAGTTAGAGATACTGAAATGACAGTGATAGACAGAGATAGTAACCGATAGTGTGATAGACAGATTGAGATAATAACCGATAGTGTGATAGACAGATAGAGATAATAGCCAATAATGTGATAGACAGATAGAGATAATAGCCAATAATGCGATAGACAGATGGAGATAATAACCGATAGTGTGAGAGACAGACTGAGATAATAGCCAACAGGGTGATAGACATATAGAGATAATAACCAATAGTGTGATAGACAGAGATAGTAACCGATAGTGTGATAGACAGATGGAGATAATAACCGATAGTGTGATAGACAGATTGAGATAATAACCGATAGTGTGATAGACAAAGATAATAGTGTGATAGACAGATAGAGATAATAACCAATAGGGTGATAGTCAATAGGGTGATATACAGACTGAGATAATAACCAATAGGGTGATAGACAGAGATAATAGCCAACAGTGTGATAGACAGAGATAATAGCCAATAGTGTGATAGACAGATTGAGATAATAACCAATAGTGTGATAGACAGATTGAGATAATAACCAATAGTGTGATAGACAGATAGAGATAATAACCAATAGTGTGATAGACAGATGGAGATAATAACCAATAGGGTGATAGACAGATAGAGATAATAGCCGATAGTGTGATAGACAGATAGAGATAATAACCGATAGTGTGATAGACAGACTGAGATAATAACCGATAGTGTGATAGACAGATTGAGATAATAGCCGATAGTGTGATAGACAGATAGAGATAATAACCAATAGTGTGATAGACAGATAGAGATAATAGCCGATAGTGTGATAGACAGATAGAGATAATAGCCAATAATGTGATAGACAGAGATAGTAACCGATAGTGTGATAGACAGATTGAGATAATAGCCAATAGTGTGATAGACAGACTGAGATAATAGCCAATAGTGTGATAGATAGAGATAATAGCCAATAGTGTGATAGACAGAGATAGTAACCGATAGTGTGATAGACAGATAGAGATAATAGCCGATAGTGTGATAGACAGAGATAGTAACCACAGTGATGCTGTAGGATAGAGATAATAGCCAATAGTGTGATAGACAGAGATAATAGCCAAATTTCATGCGGATGGTGACAGAGATAACCAATAGTGTGGATAGATAGAGATAATAGCCAACAGTGTGATGACAGAGATACTGAAATAACAGTGATAGACAGATAGTAACCACAGTGTGATAGATAGAGATACACAACAGAGGTGATAGACAGAGATAATACTAATAGTGGATAGACAGATGGAGATAATAACCGATAGTGATAGACAGAGATAATAGCCAACAGTGTGATAGACAGAGATAGTAACCACAGTGTGGATAGATAGAGACACAGTCACCAGTGTGGATAGACAGAGATAATAGCCAACAGTGTGATAGACAGAGATAATAGCCAATAGTGTGATAGACAGATGGAGATAATAACCGATAGTGTGAGAGACAGACTGAGATAATAGCCAACAGGGTGATAGACAGAGATAGTAACCGATAGTGTGATAGACAGATGGAGATAATAACCGATAGTGTGATAGACAGAGATAATAGCCAATAGTGTGATAGACAGAGATAATAGCCAATAGTGTGATAGACAGATGGAGATAATAACCGATAGTGTGAGAGACAGACTGAGATAATAGCCAACAGGGTGATAGACAGAGATAGTAACCGATAGTGTGATAGACAGATGGAGATAATAACCGATAGTGTGATAGACAGAGATAGTAACCGATAGTGTAATAGACAGAGATAATAACCAATAGTGTGATAGACAGATAATAGCCAATAGTGTGATAGACAGAGATAATAGCCAACAGTGTGATAGACAGAGATAGTAACCAATAGTGTGATAGATAGAGATAATAGCCAATAGTGTGATAGACAGAGATAATAGCCAACAGTGTGATAGACAGAGATAGTAACCAATAGTGTGATAGATAGAGATAATAGCCAACAGTGTGATAGACAGAGATAATAGCCAATAGTGTGATAGACAGATGGAGATAATAACCGATAGTGTGATAGACAGAGATAATAGCCAATAGTGTGATAGACAGAGATAATAGCCAACAGTGTGATAGACAGAGATAGTAACCAATAGTGTGATAGATAGAGATAATAGCCAACAGTGTGATAGACAGAGATAATAGCCAACAGTGTGATAGACAGAGATAATAGCCAACAGTGTGATAGACAGAGATAATAGCCAATAGTGTGATAGACAGATGGAGATAATAACCAATAGGGTGATAGACAGATAGAGACAATAGCCGATAGTGTGATAGACAGATAGAGATAATAGCCAATAGTGTGATAGACAGATTGAGATAATAACCGATAGTGTGATAGACAAAGATAATAGTGTGATAGACAGATAGAGATAATAGCCAATAGGGTGATAGTCAATAGGGTGATATACAGACTGAGATAATAACCAATAGGGTGATAGACAGAGATAGTAACCAATAGTGTGATAGATAGAGATAATAGCCAACAGTGTGATAGACAGAGATAATAGCCAACAGTGTGATAGACAGAGATAATATCCAACAGTGTGATAGACAGAGATAATAGCCAACAGTGTGATAGACAGAGATAATAGCCAATAGTGTGATAGACAGAGATAATAGCCAATAGTGTGATAGACAGATTGAGATAATAACCGATAGTGTGATAGACAGAGATAATAGTGTGATAGACAGACTGATATAATAGCCAATAATGTGATAGACATATAGAGATAATAACCGATAGGGTGATAGACAGATAGAGATAATAGCCAATAGTGTGATAGGCAGACTGAGATAATAGCCAACAGGGTGATAGACAGAGATAGTAACTGATAGTGTGATAGACAGATAGAGATAATAACCAACAGTGTGATAGACAGAGATAATAACCAATAGTGTGATAGACAGATGGAGATAATAACCAATAGGGTGATAGACAGACTGAGATAATAGCCGATAGTGTGATAGACAGATAGAGATAATAGCCAATAGTGTGATAGACAGATTGAGATAATAACCGATAGTGTGATAGACAGAGATAATAGTGTGATAGACAGATAGAGATAATAACCGATAGGGTGATAGACAGATAGAGATAATAGCCAATAGTGTGATAGGCAGACTGAGATAATAGCCAACAGGGTGATAGACAGAGATAGTAACTGATAGTGTGATAGACAGATTGAGATAATAACCGATAGTGTGATAGACAGAGATAATAGTGTGATAGACAGATAGAGATAATAACCGATAGGGTGATAGACAGATAGAGATAATAGCCAATAGTGTGATAGACAGATAGAGATAATAACCAACAGTGTGATAGACAGAGATAATAACCAATAGTGTGATAGACAGATGGAGATAATAACCAATAGGGTGATAGACAGACTGAGATAATAACCAATAGTGTGATAGACAGACTGAGATAATAACCAATAGTGTGATAGACAGACTGAGAAAATAGCCAATAATGTGATAGACAGATAGAGATAATAGCCGATAGTGTGATAGACAGACTGAGATAATAACCGATAGTGTGATAGACAGACTGAGATAATAACCGATAGTGTGATAGACAGACTGAGATAATAACTGATAGTGTGATAGACAGACAGAGATAATAGCCGATAGTGTGATAGACAGACTGAGATAATAACCGATAGTGTGATAGACAGACAGAGATAATAGCCAATAGTGTGAAGGAGAAATCATGATAAGAGAACCAGGGCCATACCATGATTCACAAGTAAGAATGTGAGTATAAAGATTGTTTATTCATTAAAAAAATGTTTACTTTTCCTTTCCAAAAATGTACACACAATGCATTAAAGACCTCTTCATACATAGGCCATTTTTGTTTAGCAATGAATTAATATACTTATGACATGGTAAAATTAATATTTATTTATACCTGATTAGATCACAACACAAATTGTTGCATATGAATACGACCTATTTTAATCATAAGGTATCGATAACAATTTAAAATAATATAGGTAATGTTTATTTATGCTTAAAAATGGGATGTAAATAGTTATCTACTATTATATATATATATATGGTACTTTAAACTGCGCATACATCTTCACCTTTACATGAAAATTACTATATGTTCATATTATTTCACGAGGGCATGTTTCCGTGTGGGCATTTTTCTGTGTGAGCATTTTTCCATGTGAGCATTTTTCTCAGTGTGGGCATTTTTCTGTGTGAGCATTTTTCCATGTGAGCATTTTTCCGTGTGGGCAATTTTCCATGTAAGCTTTTTTCGGTGTGAACAATTTTCCGTGTGGGCATTTATGACAGTGGTTTTATTTTCTGTGGGCAATTTTGATGTGGGCTTTTTTATGTGCACTGTTTTATGGTTACATAATATAAACAAACATAATATAAAAATACAAATACTTACATCCTCAATTGGAGAATTGACAATGGCATGTCCACTCCACTCTAGCCAGTGGGTTGGGGGGGGAAATGGCATGTCCATTTTTAATTAAAAAAAAACAACAACTTTTTCATGTGGCTGCACTTCTAGTTGCAATACTAAAGGTGTCTTTTTTTTGTAACTATATGCCCACTTACTACTAGCGCTACAGTGGGCAAATAGTTTAGACATATAAAATCTGGGTTTAGATTGTAAATGACCGTGCCTGGATTTTAGGAATTTCAACTGTCCATCAGACTTTGGCCTGACTACAGTCCCGGATGGCCCTGTACACACCCGTATGGATTTTCCCAATTTTGTACAGGTCGATTGACAATTTAATGTATACAGGTGGTCCTCATTTAGTGACATACATTTTTTACGACGGCTTACACTTACAACCAGGCGTAAGTGGGAGCCATAGTGGGGGATTCCCTGGTGAAATTTCGCCCAACATAGACGAACGCACCAGAGCAGGGAATCCCTCAAATCTATGTTCGGGGAAATTTTCCCTTTACTCCTCATTTACCGTCCAATTCGTTCTACGACCAGCTGGTAGGAATGGAACCCGGTCGGTAAGTGAGGAGTGTCTGTATTGCTGTAAAATCTTAAATGAAAACAAAAATAAAAACAGCCAAGTTGTGACTATATTTATTTGTGCCTAAATTTGTCCATCAGACTTTAATTTGCTACAATTCAGAATTTAGTGAATATAACTGCTCATGAAGATTTTTTTCCTTTTCTAATAAAGGTTTTTTTTCCTTCATTATAAATGAATAATAAATGAATAAAAATACAATATTTTTCTTCTCTCATGTTCTTTCAATGCAAAACTTTTCTCAGCCACAACTACAGCCAACAGAGTCATTTTAGATTAGAGTGGGGCTCTCTGATCTAAATAGTAAGGACACACTATAGCGTTAACAATACATGTTTGTATGCCTCATGCTATAGTGTTCCTTTAACTGATGTTTGAAGAAGCTGAATAGTTGGCAGATGACCTGTAGGAAATTACTTTACAATAACAATAGGTATAGCTACAGGTTAGTCATATTGATAATATTCTTCTGTTCAAACACAAGGATAACACGGGCTTAATATTAGTTTGCACATTTTCACAAGATTCACGATTACCATACCTCTTTCTGATATCTTATGGTCAATATTTACTAGTGTTGCAAGATTTTTTTCGCCATATATTTGGATATCATCAAGCCGTGAAGTTATTCACTAATTGTGATTTATGTTTTTTTACATTTCTGAAAATATCGGAAACCATTTTGTGTTGATTTTCAGGCAAAATGTCAGATAAATAATTCAAAGAATACTCACTAATGTTCCGAATATCTAAGGCTAAGGCTCGAGATTCTAATCAGATGAATGTTTTGCTTGACTTTTACGGCTACCTGCGTGTACAACCCCTGCCTTTGGAGAGCTGCGCGTCTCTTGCAGCATTTATTGTGACCTTTGAGTCTAGGCAGATTACTGTATTAAAATCCCCAAATACAATTCCACCTTCCAAACACTGAGCTGTAGTGCAGCGCTCTCGTGGGTATCGTGTATATAACACACACTTACCCCTTGATTTTATCGGGAGTTATACATGTGGAAACAAAAAAGAGAGAAAAACACAGAATAGCGTGATATTGTATATAATTATGAAGTGCAATTTTTTGCGGTTAGTGGAAATTAACTCACATTTTTTAGAGCCTTTTCTATGGAAATAGGCTCTAAACTCTTTCGCGTTCGTGCCTTTAAGGTGTATAGGTAAAGTAAGTGCTCACCTTTCTTAGAGCCTTTTGGTAACTGGCTGTAAGTATGCAGATATTGTGTCAAGTTGTAGGCTGACACCATCTGTCTGGAACCAGGATACCGTATGGAGATGAGAGTAAATGAGGTTTCAAAAGAATTTATTTCCAAATATATTCAAATTATAAATACATTAAAATACAAAATAATAAATGAATAAATGTCCTTTTATTTTCCCTCTATTACAAGACACATTTCGCCCGTCTTGTCGGCTTTCTCAATTGGTAATATTCCATATTCTGCTCTCCATCCTGAAATATGTTTGAAAATCCCGCCTCCTTTCAATTGTGTCCAAGTTATTTACGATTACAGGTGTCTCTCGTTCTATTGTGGATTTTTGGAGGAGGGAGTAAGTGCCTCAGTATCCGCCGTTTCGTCATATCCGGTATAGTGAGCTACTAGTGAGTGAGCTACTATACCCAAGATGCACTCAGTACCAAACAAATAGTGATTATTTTTGGTGATTTTTATATCCTGTAGTGGGAAGTTGGAGTACCCACAAAGTGCTTTTAGCGGCTTCACAATAAATATTCACTGTAAACAATAGCGTAATTTTTCCACACTCACTGTTTTTGTATAGATTACTGTATTATTTGTCTATTACAGGTACTTGCGCGTACCACCTTCTTTTGCTAATGTTTTTTTTTGTAAATCTGCTTTTATTGTAATAATTGTTGTAGGCACGCAGGCCTCAATAGAGATACATATGTAAGTAAAACACACAGATGCATCATGTACAAGCCCACAGGCAGTTTCAAATTTTACATTTTAACTTAAGGAATTTCCAAAACCACAGTTTAATGGCAGATGTTATTGTGAGATGGGGAGCATTCTCCAAATTTCACCTCTGTCTGTGCTTTCCTGCATTACTATAGTTGATCCTGCACTATATATGTATAATTCAATCCATGCCCGTCACTTATCGTATAACCAAGGCCTGCGAGAGG